ATCCCCACAAATTATGTGACTTCCTGCCAACTAAGACTGAAATAGCTACTTACCATTCCTTTCCCATTCCAAGGATTATGTCCCATAGCTTTTCATTCTTTTATTATTAAGAAATATTCGGCCTTCGCCTCCAATGCACAAGACTGAAAGGAGCTCACATAAACCCACAGAAAGAAACTCTCTTCAAGCTTACCAAGTGAAAGGGGGTACAAGGGTACCTCTGTCACTCTGGGCACTGAATGCAAAGGGGACCATGTGCATCCCTGGCACTCTTCTCTGGGTAGGGACAGATCACCAGCACCACTGCCACCGTCATGATTTCCAACAAAGGCAGCGCTTAGAGGATCATTTTTGGTAAGTCCTCATTCAGCACATCTTTCAACATTGTATACTCTGCCAACAGAGAGATAAAGCCTGAGTCCCATAGGGGGCAAATAACTTGAAAGAGTTTCATGATCACAGAGCACACAGAACTTACAAAAGCCTCCATCTCATGCTGGGATTCTCAAGGGATCCTCCTGGAACACTCTTTCCCTAGATCTTCACATGGGCTGTTCCCTCCTAGAAATGTATTTTCAGCCTAGATGTCTTCTTTTTGGAGAGACCATCTCTCACTATGCGGCCTCCAGTGACCTTCTGGTGGCCCTCTGTCACAGCATGCTGTTTTATTTACTCATTATCAGAAACACCTGTGTTGTTCCTACTACACAAGAACACCAGCTCTGTGAAAGCAGCCCTTGTTCATCTCTGTGTGGCTCAGAGTACCCACTCAGTGAATAAGTGAATGTGGGCATGTATCCTTCCAATACACCCATCAGGCTGGGTCAGCCCTTGAGTTTGAATACTTGCTTCACTTCTTACTAGCTGAGTGAACGGAGGCAAATGACTTAAATAAAACGAACTTCTCAGTGCTTACCCTAAGATAAGAATACATACCTCACTAGGGTGCTATAGCAATCAGATGAGATAGATGTGTACCATGTGCTTGGCACAAGGCCTGGCACTAAGAGTCCTTAATATGTAGTATTTATGAGGCGCCTGGGTGACTCAGTCGGTTAAGCGTCCAACTCTTGATTTCGGTTCAGGTCGTGATCTCACGGATCGTGAGTTCAATCCCCACATCGGGCTCTGCCCTGACAGTGCAGAAAATCCCTGCTTGGGATTCTCTCTCTCTCTCTCTCTCTCTCTCTCTCTCTCTCTGCCTCTCCCCTGCTTGCACACATGTGTTCTCTCTCTCTCTCAAAATAAACTTTAAAACAAAAAGAGAAAAAAAACCATAGTATTTATATGTCCATAATGAAAGCAGAGCATATTATAAAAGTCATGGGAGATTTTTAAATATAAATATTAATATTAATGTTAATGTTAAAATCAAGGGGTACTAATTCAACCACATTTTAAAGGTAAAATTTTAAATTAATTAAAACCTCGTTCTTAAAGGCTATACAAAGTTATTCATTTTTTATAAAAGATCCCTAATTTAACCTTTGCAATAACTACTGTTATGATAAATTAACATTTTAGACCCTCCCTTTTGGTATCCTTTTGGAAAATGGCATCTTTCTGTGAATACTTGTGGTAGGAATTTTAAGGTAGAATTGTAATCACTTTTTGCAAATATGTACTGGCGATGCTTTTTCATTTGTGTAACCTAGGAAGGTGCTAGTTTCTGTTTCTCATGCTACTGAATGGCTTTAGCTAGTTTTTGAAGTTTTTAAGAAAATCACTACTCTTGGAGGACTACAAGTCTGATTGAGAGGAGATAAATTTCTCCTTTCTTTTTGTTACACCTTGATTCTCCCATAGCACATGCGTTCATATAAAACCCTAATGTCCCCACATGCCTGAGCAGACGGTTCAATCAAAAGAGCAGTAAATGGGACCTGACCGTTCACCACTGACTAGAAAAGGGGTTGTGGAAGGAAGACAGGCTCACTTGCTTAACACAACCCTGTTCTCTCTTCCTTCCCCTCTTCCTTCATCTCAGGTCTTTTCCTTCTTTACCATCCAGTCTAGAATCAGATTTGCCTGCAGAGAATTTTGGCAGCTGCCTCTGAGCCAGGCCAGCCAGCATACATGTGTTAGGCACTGAATTAAAAGCTTAAAGGGATCCAGTGAGTACTCGTTCACCCAGGAATCTATTTGAAGTTGCAAAGTAACTGAAGGTAGAAAAAGATCTTAAAATAGAGAGTAAGAGCTTCATCAGTGTTGCGGCCCTTGGATTCTAAATTGGAAAATAGAAAGCAAAGTATATCAGAAGACAAACTCTACTTTCATTCACTTCGCCATTCTCTCTATGGTTCCTCTTGAAAGCCTTTCTTTTCTCTTTGTCTCATTAACAAGATAGTTCATGAACATAGACCCAGATACTATAAACCAAAAAAAAAAAAAAAAAAAAAAAAAAAAAAAAAAAATCCCACTGGTAGCATTTTCTTTCTCTATTTTTCCTATATTCATTCCTAAATTCAAAAATAAAAAGAGAAGAAAGGAAAACAAACCACAAGAGACTCTTAATGATAGAGAGCAAACTGAGGGTTGATGGAGGAATGTGGGTAGGGGATAGGCTAGAAGGGCGATGGGTACTAAGGAGGGCACTTGTGATGAGCACTGGGTGTAGTATGTAAGTGATGAATCACCGGATTCTTCTTCTGAAACGAATATTGTGCTGTATATTAACTAACTAAAATTTAAATTAAAAATTAATTAATTAAACAAATAGAAATACTGACAGAATTGAAAGGGCAGAAAGGAAAACTGGTCAAATAAATACTGACCCTGCAAGAAGGTTTGGGGAAGATACTGTGAATTATTTTCTCTACCAATTTAAATATCTCTCAGTATGTTCAGTTATAATCCTGGCAAGTAACTCTTGCCTTTTTCTAGTCTCTGATGTCTTTGTTGAAGCCTGAGGGTCAAGGATGGGAGGCCTCTGTGGGGAGGGTACTATAATCTACGTCACATTCCAAGTGTAGGCTTTTTTAAGGTGCGGATTCCTGGACACCTCTCTGGAGTGTCCCATATCTATGTTAAAAGCCTCCATGCCTGAAAATTTTGACGTGCAATCAGTCTGAGAAACCTCTTCTAGGGATTCACTACACGATAGGTACCATAAGGCCAAGTACCACAGCTGTTTGTTCTTTCTCATATCCTCGATGTGTTCCTGGCACATAGAGGTTCTCCAGCCATGTTTGTGTATAAATTTGCTTATGGGAGCACTCTTTGTCATTGATTCTCATCTAAATTCCATCCTCAAGGACTCTGCTAATTATTTAGCAACTGGTTCTCACTCTGGGGGGAGGAAAAATGGAGACTGCCTTAAAAGGTAATGAAAGTTAATATGCACAAAATTTGGCCTATAGTTTCAGGAAACTCACCCATGGATTCCATTCATTCATTCAGCAGTCATTTCTTGATATTCTACTGCATGCTGGGAGGGGACCAGGAGCTGTGAGGAACCAGATTATGAAGCAGGCTCAGGCAATCTTTCCAGCGAGGAAATGCCTCAGCATTTCATCATCCCCTTCTCTTCAGATTTATAGAAAAGACCCTCCAAACTTGGACCCACAATAGAAGAAAAGGAATTTAAATGGGATTGGGAGCTCTTGTCATTTTCTGGCTTTGTAACCCAGAAGTGTAATTATATATTTTAGTCCCAACTGGATGTTAGCCTCTAACTGGATTTTAGTCTGCTTAAGATGAGGGCCCACATCCCAGAATGCTGAGCAAGGTACTTTAAATGTATGGCAATACGAAGTAGATGTTTGCACTCAGGACCCGAGACCCCTAGGAAGAGGTGGTGGAGGTTGAGGGAGAGGAGCTAGAGATGGCCTGAGTGGCTGCTCAAGGTTAAGGAAATGGGTGATGGGCAGGAAGGACAGCACTTGTTGGGGTGAGCCCTGGGTGTTATATGTAAGTGATAAATCACTAACTTCTACTCCTGGAACCAGTACTACATTATATGTTAACTAACTTGAATTAAAAAAAAGAAGGAGAAGGAGAAGGAGAGGAGGAAGAGGAAGAGGAAGAAAAAGGAAAGAAGAAGGGGGGGGGGAGGGATGGCTCCTGGGTTTGCTGATGAATTTGTGAGCCCTCAAGGTTCCCTGACTCCTAGTTTGCAAAACAGCCTTCCTCAGATGGACACAAACTTTAAGTAACACACTAAGCAGGTTTTTGTTTTGTTTTTTACTTGTGAAAGCTGAAATGAGAATCTAGGAATCCAAGTCTAGTTTCTAGCAGTGAGATTCCAAGCCAGTCCCTTAACCTCTGTGAGCTTCTGTTTTCTTCCAATGCCAAGTGGCAGAGGGTGGGGTTGGAGGAAGGCAAAGCTATATTCTTAAGGTCCACTTGAGACCTATTACTCTGCTCCATTAAAGGCAAACATTAAAAGCCCAAAGTTGCATTTCATACTCATTAGAAGCCCTTGTTGCATCATGTTGGGGGCAGGCTTAGGGGTGTGACGGTGATTTACTGTCACAGTTGCCATTTCTGTGGTCTTTCTAATGTTTACTATTTACTAATGTGTTTCAAGTGCGGGTTAACTCTAGATTATCTACTAGTACATTTCTATAATTGTCTGTAATCCTCCAGACCTTCTTCTTCTACTGATTAGTCAAGTTCCTGACCATCACCAGCAGAAGACTGTGGAGAAAGGTTCTTGAGAGTCTGAAGCTTAGAAGGATTGAAGGTCGGGTTTGGAGAAGGGGTGTCCTTGACTGTGTTCTAAAGCCTTTGTCTCTGATTATTGGCGTTTGTAGTATTCCCTGTTTTGTATTTACTATACCACCTTCTCTACCCCATTATCTAGAATAAGTTAGGGGTTGACTCTGGAATAATTGTATTCATATTCTTTAACATACAAGTGCACAGTACCCATTTCTGTCTATGCTTTATTTCCCCTTTAAGGTCCTAACTCATAATAGTACCTGAGGAAGAAATGATATTTTAAATATGTGGTCTACATTAACTAAAATTCATTCTACTTCATCCTGCTTTTATACCAGGTGTCATTAAAACGTTTGGAGATCCTTCAACCAAATTCTGCAGGGATTGGTGATCAACTGGAAGGCTCAGAAGTAGACATCTGATCATTTACCTGTGAGTAGCATTTATGTGATTGACGGGGATGGGGAGGCTCTGCTCCTAGCTTCTCTGCCTGATTTTCTAAATTCTGGCACCTAAAGATGCATTGTGAGAAGCCAGTCTTTTCTGCTGTAGTCCTCATGGTTTATATACCAATTCATCTGTCAGATTTGGAAAGAATTTTTTCTGCTTTATAATTTGATTTTTTTGCGGGACACGTGGGTGGCTCAGTTGGTTGGGTGGCTGACTTTTCAGCTCAGGCCATGGTCTCACGGCTCGAAGGCTTGTGAGATTGAGCCCCACGTTGGGCTCTATGCTGACAGCTCAGAGCCTGGAGTCTGCTTCCGATTCTGTGTCTTCCTCTCTCTCTGCCCCTCCCCGCTTGTGCTTGCTCTCTCTCTCTCTCTCTCTCAAAAATAAATAAATGTTAAAAAATTATAATTTGATTTTTTGCTTTATTTTTTTCCTGCATATGTATCTTAAGCAAAACAGTCCCAGATCAGTAATGAAGTCCTCACTTCCTGCAAAGAATGCTGTTGACTTGAGGGGACAGAGAGGTCATGAGTCAGTCTTCCCCAGTGAATAAGCTCACCTTTGCACAGACACTGGTGATTTCAGGGGCAGTAAGTGCCAGTCACTTCCCATGAACCCTCCTCAGCTGGGAGGAGAAGTTCCACAGGCAGAAGGGTTACTGGGGAATTGCAGAAGGTAGAGGCTGGAGAAAGTAAGGGAAACTTCACTTGTTCACAGTTTTGCCCAGGGTGGCACCAGTAGGAGGGAAAGTTTTTTGGGAATTCAGTGTGGTTCTCAGGCAATTGTTTTCTGATTCTATCTGTTGCAGCCTGTATTAGTTTGCTCCGGTTGCCATAACAAGTTATCACAGACCAGGTGGCCTAAACAACAGAAATTTCCTCACAGTTCTGGTGAGATATCAGCAGGTTTGGTTTCTTCTGAAGCCTCTCTACTTGGCTTGCAGATAGCAGTCTTCTCCCCGTGTCTTCACATGCCAGCCTGCAGTGTGCACACGTGTTTGGTGTCTCTCTCCAGGTGTCCAACATCTCCTTTTCTGACAGGGACACCAGTCCTATCAGATTAGGACCCACCTAATCGCCTCACCTGAAGTTAATCACCTCTTTAAAAACTTGATCTTCAAACACGGTTACGTTCTGAAGGACTGGGGGTTAGGACTTGAACATATAAATTTGGGGAAACACAATTCAATCCATACCAGCCCATCATCATGTGTTTCTAACATGCTGATTTTTAGTTTATTGCAGATGCACTTCCCTCAGATTCCTCTCTCCTGAACTTCCTCTGCATTGACATCACTTTCAGAACACTGGTTATTCTGTGATGTGTTATAGCCCTTTATTGTGCGGCTCTCATTGTCCAATGACATTGTGCAATTTTTGAAATTGAAGAGTGTGGCTTTTACATCTCTCACAGCAGGAGAAGTTGTGTATATAATAGACATTTAATAATATTGAATGAATGAATGAATGAATGAGTGAATAGATGATTAGATGTAACTTCTGAACCTATAATTTATTTGCTTTAAGACTATCTCCCAGTGGTGATTATTAGTGCCCTTTACCACATTTGCTGCCCTTTACCACAACAGGTAGAAATAAGTCAAGACAGGAGAGGGGCTGAAAGAAAAATATGATTAGCTGACATCAGGAGAATTACCTCTCTCCTCAAAAAGGTAGGAGACAATAAATAGCATGAGCCTGCCCCAGATCCCATCACTCTTCCATGAGAACGTTGTTCCAGGAGACAAGAGGGAAGGCCGATGAGCTTTGATGGGGATATACTGAGTGTGAGGACTTAAGGGACATCAAGGGTATAGTCCACCTGAAGCTCAGGTGAGAGCTGGAGACAGAGATGTTTTCAGTCATAATCTTTACTTAGGAATTAGAACCATGGCAGTGGATGAGGTCATCCAGAGAGATTGTGTGGAGAGAGAGGAGCAGTGTTTCCAAAATGCCACCAGAAATTGGTGTGTAGAAGGTTTTCCTGGTAAATAACAGAGGAATCCTCCCATGATAAAGAAATCTACATGCTACTCTTAATGAGGGTTTGTAAGAACAGGTATATTGGGGTGCCTGGGTGGCTTGGTTGGTTAAGCATCCGACTTCGGCTCAGGTCACGATCTCGCGGTCCATGAGTTCGAGCCCCACGTCGGGCTCTGTGCTGACAGCTCAGAGCCTGGAGCCTGTTTCAGATTCTGTGTCTCCCTCTCTCTCTGCCCCTCCCCTGTTCATTCTCTGTCTCTCTCCATCTCAAAAATAAATAAATGTTAAAAAAAAATTTTTTTAAACAAAAGAACAGGTATATTAACTCATGTGTATGTCTTTCTTTTTCTCTCTCATTTATTTGGCCCTATTTTATTTCTTCTTGTGTCCTTTCCTTTGGGGATATGCCCCCAAACCATTCCCGTGGGGCTTGTCCCATCTAATAAACTGCACCCATGAGCATAGGTTTGACTCCCTAAGTTTCTGCCAAGGGGGCCTCATACATCAACACCTTCCTTTGGAGCCATTTTCTTCATCAGCCAATCAGAGCTGATCAGACTGGACAGTAGGGGAGCCTGTCTCCAAAGAGACAGAAGGTAGATCTTTCTCAGAGACTGGTGCCATTGAACATTATCTTGTCTAGACAGTCAGTAAAGGGCTCAGTAGAGGGGAATGTACATCCTTTGCACTGAACTCCTTCTTTAGTATGTTGATCCCTACTGGTTTCCCCACTCTACCTATGCCCTCCAGGAGGCTTTGGCAATATTTTAGGGTTTCGCAGCCAGGCCAGAATGGAAGCTGGTAGAGTATGGAGGGGCCATGGGTCATGACGGCCATAGCAATCTTCTCTCTGGGTCCCACCAGAAATGTCATTTCTAATGAGTCCATGTTTATCCCAGCACTAGTTTCCTTAGTTTTGCCTGATTTCTGTGACAAATAAAAGAAGGAAAAATATTTATCCATTTATTTTATTTTCTGAAGTATTACTTTTCTCCCTTTAGATTCTCTTTTTGCAATTTTTTTTTTTCTTTTTCTCTCCTTCTCTCTTAGTTCTCTTTCTTTAGCAGAACCTTGATCTTTCCTTGGATTGTCTGGTAACAGTGGAAGAGACCATCTGAGTTCTGGAAACTTCCTCCTTCTCTACAAACCCCACCCATTTTCTCTAGTTAACTGTGAGATGCCAGCTTTCTTCATCTACCCACTTCCACACTTCTGTCTTGGTGTTCTTTGAGTAGCGGAAAATATGCCAATTTTTATGCAGCTGCCTAAAGTGTCAGTGACGCCTGACAGTGATTTTTTAAATAATATAATTTATTGTCAAATTGGTTTGCATACAGCACCCAGTGCTTACCCCAACAAGTGCCCTCCTCAATGCCCATCACCCACTTTCCCCTCCCCCCAACCCCTATCAACCCTCAGTTTGTTCTCAGTATCCAAGAGTCTCTTATGGTTTGCCCCAGTGATTTTTACTCAAATTGCTATTTACCTAAGATGAGAAAGGAGAAATTTTGTAGTCAAGAGAAAATGGCTCTACAATCCATGAATGGCCTAGATGGGGTGTTCCAAATGAATGGTGGCCAGTGGCCAGCATAGGTGCCTCTCAACTGTGTTTCATTAATTTCAGTCAGCTACAAGGTTTGGAGAGAAAGATGATTTTCCTATGAGCATGTAAAAGAAGTGCTTTGAGTTGTAAGTCTTTGCCCTTGTTTAAGAAAAGCATAAATGGGAGATTTTATAACCACAGTGGGCCAATATTTTTGGAGTCAGTTGAAGCTCCAGATGGAGTGGAAAGAGAAGTTTTTTTCTTCCTCTTTTCTTGAGTTTTACAGAACAAGTCTCCCTGGACACCTTTAATAAAGTGCTCAGTCTCTTTTTTAGTTCAAGTGTGCCCAAACTTGCTATCACAGGATCTGAAGGAGTCTTTCTTACACTAAGAATCCTCTCTCTAGATTTCTGGTAGGGGTTGTAGAACCAGCCTCATATGTGAAAATGGCTTGAATCCACTCCTTCCTCAAGAGTCTCACCTTCAAGAGCCCACACTCAAGTCCTTGTCATATGGTATAGGATGAAAATATGCAGTGAGCCCAAGTTTGGTTAGGGATTGAGGGAACAGGAGGAACACAGATTCCCATAGTCTCATCAACGTTCTGGAAACCTTCATGTTAGGAAGGGTAAGAGGACATTCCAGCATCACCATATGCGGATTTTGTAACTTTGGCCAAATGATGGAGTTTTCCTGGTCAGAGAATTGCACCTGGCTTTAAGAGGTGCCTCTGTGGAAGCACATATTCCTGCCTAGCACAGCTATTGACAGAGGAGCTTGGGCCAGGGTGGACAAGCCAAGATGAGGGCCACAGAGGGCAAGGGAGAAAAATAGACAGTGGTGCCAGGAGTACTTTCTAGAAGAAAGGTTCTTCTAGAACTCCTCTCCAGACTATTGTCTAATAGTCATGAATAAAGAGATAAAGAATGATTGTGCTATTTAATAGTTTTCAATGGAAATAAGCAAAAGTCCTGAGGCTTACCTGAGGCTCCAAGAATGATTGGATTTCTACAGTCCAAGGACACAGATTCAGCTGCTTCTGAACTCTACTTTGGGATGTTTAACAACACGAAGTAGTGAACGTCTTGCGCTCTGTGCAGCCATACTCCAGTAGGATTTAAGTAGAACAAGCACGCAGTCTGAGGGGGGGAAATCTGAAACAAGTTTCCTTCCTACCATTCTCTCTATCCCAGGTCCAATTTAATGCCAAATTAAATCTAGATTTTTTTTAAATCGACTTTCACTAAGGAAAGGGCAGAGCTGCATTCCCTGAAACAGATATTTTAGGCCAAAATTATTACTTGGGCCTTTTTTCCTCCTCCTTTCTGCTAATTCAAAACAAAATGTCTGTCATTCACTCTAACACCAGCTTTTAAGAGCTGGAGACAAATGGAGTCTGAATATTCACGCCAATGTGGTACAAATGAGCTGTGATTTCAGGATGCTGGCTGTTTCTC